GGGGGGCGCGCGGCTCCGGGCGCGGCGCCTGCACCATGAACTACCAGCAGCAGCTGGCCAACTCGGCTGCCATCCGGGCCGAGATCCAGCGCTTCGAGTCGGTCCACCCCAACATCTACTCCATCTACGAGCTGCTGGAGCGCGTGGAGGAGCCGGTGCTGCAGAACCAGATCCGGGAGCACGTCATCGCCATCGAAGGTGAGGGCCGGGCCGCCGCGGGGCTTCTGGAAGACGCGGGGGAGCGGGCGCCCCGGCGCGGCGGGGCGCGCGCGCGCGTGTCCGTGTCCGTGCGTGTCCGTGTGTGCGTGTGTGTGTGTACACACGCGCCGGGCCGTGGCACGCGGCTGCCCCGCCGAGTGAGCCACTGCGGTGCTCTTTACCCTGCAAGGCCGGGCGAGAACCCAGGGTGGCGGGGAGGCCGAGGGCCGGGCCGGGAGCTCTGTCACAGAAGATGGGCGGTCAGCCTTAATTTGATGATGGGCCGTAGCCTCTCCAGTGAGACGGTGGTTCGGTGCGGTCTCGTCCTGGGTCGCCCGAGGGACCGGCCCGGCCGATGCCTGAGGGGAGCTGGAAAGGTTGGCGCCACCGGACCCGTGACAGGTTACCAGGCCAGGGCCGAGCGTCTTGCTGGACGTTGAAGGTGTGTTTTGAGAAGTGCTGCTGCCGGGGGTGAGGCTCTGGTCAGCTCGTTTAGGCGGGGCGGGGGCGCGCCCCCCGCTGCGTGTCTGCTCAATTCCGGGGCACAGTGGAGGCCGCTCAGCTGAGCCTGGGCAGAGACCGAGCTCCGGCAGCAGGCAGGCAGTGTCCAGGGCCACCTGCCCCTGTGCAAAGGCTGGCCTCCATGGAGTGCGTTCTAGCAAAAGTCCTGGCGAGTTAGAAGAACCCCACCAGGAGGGCAGGGCGTCCCTCAGCCTCGGGGGCTCACTGTCCCGTGCCTGGAGGCCACCCACTGTTCCTGTGTGTCAGGAGAGGCTGTGACCCTGCAAGAAAGGTGCAGTGCAGTTCCTCTCCTGGGCTTGTGTTCTGTCTGGGCTGCTCTCGCTGGGTTCCCAGTGGCTCTCGTCCGTTACTCGGCAGCCGGGCTTCTGGGTCGTCTCCTTGCTTTATCCATTTGGTCCTGCCAAGATTCACCTGGAGGACCAGGTGGGGTGTAAACGTGGAACGTGGAGTTATACCTCAGCCCCAGTCAGCCGGCAAGCAGCCTTTCCCCTCTTGTCACTGTTGGCCAGTGATGGTGAAAGGCTTGCAAGGTGGCTTGTCCGTAATGCAGAACTGCCCTAACCAAAGGCCAATAGGGCCGCTGTTGAGGAACACCGAGAACATGCCAAGGCCTGGCAGCAGTGAGTCTGAAAGCCCGGCTGCAGGCAGTCACCCACCTCCCCTCCATCTGTGAGTGACAGGGCATTGGCCACAGGAAGAAGGCTTTGCTTTGGCACCATGCAGTCTGCACACCTGACCCCGGAGGGTCTTGGTTTGACACTTGGCCAGTGAGGTGGAGAACGGTGCATGTGGTGGTACCGATTCTCTTGGCATTTGGCAGCCCCGTGGACTTGGACAGTGGCCCGGCTAGGCTGCCGACTGGCCGGCTGTGTCCATAGGGGACTGCTAGTTCCCGGAGAGGATCTGAGCAGTGCTCCAGCCTTGTGTGGGGCCTGGCTCTCAGTGCACCAGGCCGCCCTCGTGGCAATTTAAGATGCTTCCAGATTCCTCGAGAGGCAGGGGCTCCAATGTGCCTCTGACGGGCGTGGGAGGCCATGACGGTGGGGTGGCGCTGCAGGCAAGCCCTCCGGGGCCTGAGCTCTGCCCCGTTGCCGTCAAAGTGAAGGGGTGCTGTGCCTGTGTCACTGTCTGCAGCTCTCTGGCAGCACCCACAGGAGTCTGATGAAACACTTTGAAAGGCACTGCCAGGTATTGAACACACCTGGCCGAGAGCACCTCGTCGCTGGGCAGAGACCGCGGGCCGAGTGTGAGTCATGTGGCACCTGGCTTTCATGTCCCATCCTTGACGCCCGGCTCTGGGGTCTCCAGCACTTCCAGCAAAGCAATTTCATTTTCTAGCAAGAGGACGTGGTTTTGTTTTTCTTTTTAAACAAACTATTATGTGGTCCCCAGGGGATGGTTTTTGGTAGCTTGATGTCTACCTTTACGATGGGAGACTTCGTGGTTGGAATCCGTGTCATTGTTAGTAAGACTCAAAATCAGTGACAGAATCCTGTTTGGGACTTTGATGATGTTATTTTTTTGTTAAAGAAAAAAAAAAGGATGACTGTATTAATGCATCAGAGCTGTTAATTTAACAAGGCTTAAGGGTCATTCAAACGTGCTGTGCTGTTCTTTGCATTATGTCAACAGTGGTACCACTTCTCATTTGTACAGAACTTTAGCAGAAATACTCTTGCGTCTCCGTAACCTCATTGTGTGGCTATACCAACCCTGTGGGAGGATATGGGCTGGCTTTGTTTTTGTTTTGTGGAAGATGGAGGTCCTGGGAGGGGTAATGACCTCCTGAGCATTACCGAGGTCTGTCGGAGTTTGGCTTGAGCCAAAGGGTGATTTGCACGGAGAGCCCGAGCAGCTCACACCGCTCCTGCTGATGTAGGTTCGTGTGTTACACGAAATGCCTTCCCGCCCTGTGCCAGTTTTCAGATACGGTTGTGAGGAAATTGAGAGGGTTGCTCCATGGTGAGAGGGCAGCATTTTTTTGTATGAGGAGAGAATGATACAGAAACAGTTTTGTGTGTTGTTGGGCGGTGTGGGCTGTCCACTCATACTGAACCTGAGCGCGTGCCATGGGGAACCACGGCTGCAGTTGTCTTCGGAGGGACCCAGTGGGACAACTGGGCACGCACCGGGAGCACCCCAGTGACTGAGAAACATGCCTGTCTGCCCTCCTGTGAACCTCACAGGTCAGGATGCTACAGCGGCAAAACGTCAATCTTTCCAAACTAGAAAATAGAACCACTTGGGACACTATATGCACGTCATAGCACATAGTTTAAAAATCACCTGTCCCACCAACACAGACAACGGTGCCCCCCACCCCCCCCATGTATATCCGCAAAATTAAAGGCATACTTACAGAGCTTCGTGATGAGCATAATGGGAACGCCTTTCGGGGGCATGAAGAATTTTGAAGCTATGTTTTCTCATGTTGGCATACTGGTCCGGCATTTGGCTGTGCCACAATTTATTTAAAATTTCCGTCTTCTCTGGCAGCTCCAGGAGCTTTCGCTGTCGGAATGAGGAGTGGCCTTGTCAGAGGGAACGGTGTTTAGGCTAACGCTCATTTCAAGGTGATTCGAAGTGGGACTGGATTGGAAAATCTCCCATAAGATGGACTTGCATGTGTTTTAGTCAAAAGAGCTCACCGAGATCCCAAATAAGAGTGGGTCTGCGACCATGGCTACAGGCCTGGGACGTGCGATTTTGTTCTCAGTCTTGTTTTAAAACATTACCTTGCCCCCCCCCCCAAAAAAAAAAGTTTTGTTTTTAACTTTTTATTTCAGATTTTGGGAGATTAATGGTCCTCCCGACATCTCTGGAGTTTGAGCAAGCATGGCTGATGGTTTTCAGACTTCGGGGTGTGGCATGCTGGGAAGCGTAGCCCTGAAGCACGGGTGTTCTCCGTGCCCATAAAAGCGGCTGGGAGCGGCCTGCCTCCAGTGCGAACAGCTTGGCTAGGTTTCCCCTCCAGTTCTCCTTGAAAAAGCCTGTCTGGGGTTGACGGGTTGAGGTAAATGAGTCAACTGCCTTTCTTATTAAATAAAGCTGTTCTTTTGGGGGTAAAGCCTCTATTGGCAATTGCACATTGTAATTCAGTTTGGCAGTGGCAGAGCTGCGATGCCAGTGATAACCCAGCCAGCCAGGGCAGTGCTTGAGCCCCCAGCCCGCCTTCATGCCAACACCCTCACCAGGCAGGCAGTCAGCAGGATCCATGCTCCCCACTAGCCCCACTGGTGGTTTGTATGGCTTCCTCTAAGCCAGCGGCTCTCAACCTTCCTAATGCCGCGCGCGACCCCTTAATACAGTTCCTCATGTTGTGGTGACCCCCAACCATAAAACTGTTTTCGTTGCTACTCTATAACTGTAATTTTGCTACTGTTATGAATCGTAATGTAAATATCTTTTTGTTTTCCAATGGTCTTAGGCGACCCCTGTGAAAGGGTCTTCGACCCCCAAAGGGGTCGCAACCCACAGGTTGAGAACCGCTGCTAAGGGCTCCAGGTAGGCCACGGTGGCCTGGTTCTTGGCAGGAGAGTACCCCTGGGAAGGGCAGTTTCACAGGCAGCTTCTAGGACTGGGCCCCCACATTTGGGGGACCCCGGCAGATGAGGCAGGGAGCCCACTTTGTCCCGTGATGCAGCTCCCTTGTTCAGCATTGGCGCTCAGCAGAGTGCAGAGTGCTCAGTTCGTGCTGTGGGAAGCCCATGACATAGATGCCAGCTCTGAGGTCCAGAAGGCGTAGGGCATGTGCCCAGGAGAGATGGGCCGGGCTGATCAGCCTCCGTGATGGCCTCCTAGCTGCTTCAGAGATAGAAATAGAGCTTGTGGTTATTCATCCCCACAAGCCCTGTGTGCAAGGCGTCCCAAGCATGCGTTATGTGTTCCCTTCACCCAGGACGGGAAGGGCTTGAGAAGGCTGCAAATACCCAGAAGTATCATGTTCTCTGTCAGGTCCTCCCCACGGCAGCACTTGTGTAAGAGTTTGTTCTCATACGGAAACGTGTTTCATCTGGTTGCTGCAGGTGTGTGTGTCCAGGGACCACATTTCTTATCTCTGCCATGGATGAGCGTAGTTCTCCTTTGCCACTATCGACTGTATTTGTGATTTTTCAAGTTTAATCAAAAGTTGCAGGTAGGGACCATTTTGTTCATACAAATGTCACAGCCTCCTTCCGAAAAATAATTCTCCCTCGGCTGCTCATTGCTTCCAGGTTAAATCTCATACCTTACCGGCGGTGTCTCACCCTGTGACAGTCCTGGCGTCCCTTCCGGCCTGGCCGATGTCGGCCTCTTTCCATGCCTCGCCCAGTCAGAACGAAGGCCCGCCTGCCCAGTGCCCTCCGCTGCCTGGGGCTCCTGTCCTTACACCCCCCAGCCTGAAAGAGTGGGAGCTCTGCGAGGGCAGAGATCGGATCCTGGCCATCGCGCGTCTCCTCCGGGATTCCCTGTGTCCCGTCTGGCCCTGCAGGATGGCC